TGCTACCTGGAGGAGCAGCTCTTTCTCAACCACCTCTTCCGTCTTGCTGATGAGACGCTTCTGCAGCATGTGAATTTTCTGTATCAGCTCAAAGGTACTGGGGTCACTGGCCTGTTCAAGGGGAACAACGTAAAGCAGCTGAGATATCATCAGTTTCAAAGCCCTGAAGTCCCTATGTAAAATAAGTATTGTTTTATCAAAATCTATTGCAAACCTGCAGGCCCAATACAGAGAGAATGAGAACCAAAAAAAAATGTGTAACAGGTGGGATGGTCATCAAAACAGATCGACTTTTGGCTAATGTCTTATCTATTGGCTCTAGTTAGCCAATAAATGGAAAATGAATATGTTTATTCCACTAGGGGAAATAATAATAACAACAACAACAACAATAATGGTAGCTACTGTGCAGGACACCTGATTCTTTGCCACCATCCAAACACTATGCTAAGTGCTTTTCATATATTATCAAATGTTAGCCACACGACAGCCCTGTGAGACACTGTTAGTCTTCCCTTTGACAGATAAGACAACTGAGGCTCAGAGGATTAAGTCATTTACTCACACTGGTAAGGGTCAGAACTGGATTCAAGCCCAGATATACCTGGTTCTAAAGCCTGTGGTTCTTAATTACTGTGCTCAGAGGCTTCCCCTACCATCGTCTCTGTTTCCATAGGAATGAGACAGGGTCCTCCAATTCATTCAGCCTCAGGTTTCTCCTATGGTAACTGTCAACAAGAAGATGCATTACAGCCGATGATGGGGAAGGTTTCTAGGATGTGGACGCCTGCTAATTGGCAGCAGAACACGACCGTGGCATTTACCTCTCAAATGGCGTTATCAATCCATAAAGCTTTGATGTGCCTTCAGTAGCTATCTGTGTACAACTCAAAGATCTACTCTTATAAATTGATAATTTGTCCTGTAGACTTTGAGCCAAAGCTTCACTCTCAACTGTACTGACATTTTGAATTAATCTAGCAGCGAAATATTTTCAACTGCCTCCCAGAGTCTCTATTTTCTAATTTTTAATAGAAATTGACATAGAATTGGAAACTTTAAAGATCTGCTTGGAAACACATGGAGTAAACTAATGTGACAGTAAATGAATTTAAAATCTCCAGATCCACTTCCCCAGACACATCCATATTATCGTTACTTTAGCAAATGATACCACTCTTGGCATTTGAAGAAGAATAAATGAGGGTCCAAAACACGGGGGAGAAGAACATAGTCCATCAACTCTGACTTTGTCTAAGAAATACTGGGCAATGCCAACTGATAACCATATATTGGGACTAGATTTGGCACACATTCATTTGGCAAGACTGGATGTTAAAATTCAGGCCTCGTGTTTACATAATAGTTTATAATGCATTATTCTTAATGCTTTCTTCATTAAAAGGAAAAAATAAAGATGAAAAACAAAACCCCACTTGGCTGATTTTCTCCCTTGCCCTGCTCTTTCTTAAAACACATACTTATTTTCTCCCAATGCCCTAATTGTTCATTTAGTCAAAGGCCCTTCTGGTATCCGCCTTGCTGGGTATAACTATAGGAGGTAGCCACCCTTTTCTTGAAAATGCAGAGCTTGTCTTTAACTGTTATCTGCAGTGCTGGTGGAAATGTCTATTAGGATGTCATAAAATAAAATATGAGGTTTATCATTATTACGGGACTTTGGCTATGTCCCCAGATCCTAAGAGAAACGGTTTGGCTAACACAATGCTAGTCCTTCAAAAAGGGGACTAGTTGACAAAAGCCATATTTCCTGCAGGAAGCAGAAGGATGCAAAGACCAGCTGAAAGATCGTGAAGATGCTGGTGGGCAATGTAGCTAAAAGCAATTAACAATCCAAGACTAACAGGCAGCCGCAGGACAACTGGTTGACCAAAAAGTACCTAAACAAGAAAAATAAATGTCTACTGGTGAGGCCGGTTCAGAGCTTTCACTGGGTCTTTTTTAGACAAAAAAGATTTTGTCCAGGACTTTTTAAACAAAGCCCGAATAAACAATCTGGTTCTGGAACGACCCAATTTACATTTGATCACAACTTACATTTTAGGTGGCCATTTGCACCACATTAAATAAAATCACACTTCCCATCGTGCTTTAGGTAGGAAGCCTTTGTTGGGTAGAAGAAGAGATTTGGGGATGGGAGGAAGGTTCTGCCAGATGTTACCTCGAGATTCCTCCACCTGTGCACATTCATGGGGTTCTCCAGTTCTTCCTGCAGGGCCCGGCATCGTGCCCTCTCCTTCAAGAATTCTCTTTGCATGCGAAAAACCTCCTGTCTGAATAAGACAAACTTTGTTTTGCAAAGAAATTCTCCACTCATTTGAACGTCATATCTTTATGTGGTTACATACACACTACATCTTACATAAAAAGTTGGAATTAGGGGGACTTTTGTGAACACTGAGACCAGCCTCCTAATCAGCAAGACACAGAGGATACCAACTCTTTGCGAGCTTAAACTTTGGCTTTTGCTTAAAAAAAGAACCAGAGCTTCAGAATTATGATTCCAGATACCCAAGAAATTTAGAAGTATATGGAAAGAACAGGGAGGAGGTGAATTATGAGAGTTTCAATATACTTTTTAATGTTTCTAAATGTTTCTATAGTAACAGCTATATTACTACTACATTAGCTACATTCCACCATAATGTGTGGCCCTTGACTGCAAGATATTGCAGCTCAGGTGATCAAATGACACCACCCTGGCTGCACAATGGAATTCCCTGGGGATCTTTGACAACACACCTTTGCCTGGACCCGATCCCCACAGGGATTCTGCTTTAATTGGTCAAGCATGTGGCTTGGGTTTCACAGGTTTTAAAGTCCTCTGGTAATTCTAATGTGCAGCCAGGATTGAGAAACACCAAGTTAGAAGTGATATTGTATCTCATGCTCCACAACTCCACAGATGGCTGAAAAAGTCCTGAGGAACTAGCTCTGGTTCAAACATACTTCTAAAATCTGCGGGAATCTCTGGTTAACAGGTAATGTGCTCCAGCCATCCAGGGTACCCAGTGAGCTGGCTGCCTCCCTGTTGAACGAGAGGCTCTGTTGGGAGGTGGAGAAGAGGCAGGCACTCACATTGACACCAGCAATGAGGATATTATTATCTATCCTCGTCTGCCGTGGGTGTGCAGATTACTAATTCTAAGCCATCTCTTTGACTTAATTGCTTCATTTAAACCAATAATACAACTTCCCCTCATTAGCAAGACAAACCATTAGAATTAACTGCATGATGCTCACTCAACAGGGAGCTCAGAACAAGCTGCCTAGAATTAAAAGCATATTTTTAACACTTCGATTTTCTAGAGTGTCATCAGAAGAGGAGGGCAAGAATATTAGCTACCATTATTGATGGCTTATTTTGTACTAGACTCTGTGCTAGGCACATTATATTTGTTTTTGTGTTTAATTTTAACTACACGTCTAAAGCTCAGAAAAGTTAAATGATTTGCCCAAGGCCACACGGCGTGTAGGTGGCAAGGTTGCGACTGGAATTCATGCCTGCTTGCCTCCAATATCTTTATTAAGTTGTCTTCCCATTGAAAAGAAAAATAAAATCTATTATCAACAAATAAGTCTTGTTGACTAGGAATGGGTCGATTTTGGTCCTTTGTGGATGTAACAAAAATAACTCACAGCTGGCAAGTTTAGTGATGGTCTTTGAGATCATTCGACAGCTGCTTAGAATGAATCCATTTGTCTCCAAAACGTCAATGGTGGTATCTCTGGGTAGTAAACTTATGAGTGGTTTTTCTAATCCCTTCTTCATATTTGTCTGCATTTCCCATGTTTTCTACAACGAATTTGTACTACTTTCATCATCTGAAATACGAGCAACTCTAAAAAGAAAGTATTGATCCATCCTTGATAGTGGCAACTTCCCTTGCTATTCCTGAATATATTCACTTCATCAAAATATCAAAACTATCTTCTCATTCAATTAATTTAAGAAGCAGATCCAAATAGCGTCCTTGTCCCAAGGTAGTCAAGGATGTTGTTCATCTACAATCTGTGGGGAATAAGGATAGCTCCTGAGAAAACACCAGACTTCTTATTTGGTTTCCTGCAATTGCCTATATAAAACACGGTGATGTTTTCCCAAAGGGAAAGTAGATCTTGTATAATGTAAGGTTTAAAGCAAGAAGAAGGCACACTAAGCTAAAGGGAAAGCTGCAGAAGATAAATCAAGAGTGAGATGTAAAATTTGGCTGCCTTCGAAGGAAACAGAGTTTTCAAATAGAGATAAAATTAAATTTTTCCCCTCTTTTTATTCTGTGTATAATTCCAAGAAAAAGATGTGCAAATGTTACCAGGATTAAATTTAAATATTGATGCTCCATCTCTCACCTACTGCCTTATTAAGGAAACTCTAAAGAGCTCATTGGGGGAAATTTTTTCTGAATTGTAACTAGCTTGTATTTGTGATTTCACTTGAAATTTCATTTTTAAAATCCAGAATAAAGTTTTTAAAAGATCTTTTTGCACCCTCTTATATTTCCCTGAAAGGAAATTAGTTCATTTTTTGTGACATGGAATGGACACAATGTAGATTGTGAATTATGGAAAAGTTGTTCTCATTATTTGCTGATAATTTCAACATATAAAAAATTATCTTAGGGGCCGGCCCCATGGCGTAGCAGTTAAGTGCACACGATCCGCTGCTGGCGGCCCAGGTTCGGATCCTGGGCGCGCACGGATGCACTGCTTGTCGGGCCATGCTGTGGCGGCATCCCATACAAAGAGGAGGAAGATGGGCACAGATGTTAGCCCAGGGCCACTCTTCCTCAGCAAAAAAGAGGAGGATTGGTGACAGATGTTAGCTCAGGGCTGATCTTCCTCACACACACAAAAAAATATATATATATATATATTTTATACAGCTTGATAAAGACCTTCAATGACCAACAAGAGGAACACAAAGTCATTTCGGGAGCTCCCCACAGACAGCTGTGCCCTCAGCTCTGAGCAGTCTCCTATTACCTGAGTTCGTCGACATTAGCCACACTCCTGGCAAGAATCCCCTTTTCCCAGCGAAGTTTCTTGATCTCAAGTTTGAGGATTCTCATGTCCTCCAATCTCTGATTGTACTGCCTCTCGACTTTATTCAACACGGATTGTTGGATCTTGATCTTCTCATAGAGCAAAGCCAACTCATCATTGCGCCGAACAAGCTGCGACCCCAGGATATCTCTCTCGCTGATGACCTAAGAAGATAGGGAAGGGCATGGCCACCAGGGAACTAAAGGTCTCACTTTTCATCACGGCAGCAGCACTCATTCCATCAGTGAATATCTATCCAATGCCCACATGTGCTAGGCACCCAGTGGGCAGGGCACTGGAGATAGCCTGCTACCACCATCAACACTGGACTCCTCCCATGAGAGTTTGCAGTCTCGTTGGAAAGAGTTCAACAAATAATCCGTGATAAGAACAATTCAATAACCCTTGGCCCATAAGTGTTTGTTTGTTTTTTTCCAACCCATTATTTTATAAATGATTATATTTAAATGACTTTATGATGGGCTACCTCTTGCCAAGTTCTACCACTCGTTGCTGTCTGAAGCTGATCAACTTGTCTCTTTTCTTTTTAACCTGCCAGATCTCTGAAAGCATTTAAGCTTCTAATCCCCAAATTATGTAATTATTAATTGCAATTATATATGAGCAATTACATTATACTAGAATGTAAGCTCCCTGAGGACAGGCACCTTGTTTTCTTGTCGGTCAATGACCGACACACAGTAAGTGCTCGTAAATACGACTTCAGTAAATGAATGAATATTTCATAATTAATCAACAGAAGATGGACCTCTGCTGCTGTTCTTCCAACAGACTAAATGGAAAAGCTTAGAGAAAAATGAGGATCTGTGAAGAGTTGAACCAAACAGCTGGGTCTGCTGATGAGGTCTGCAGGCCTGGTGAGGAGGTGTTCCTACCTGGTCTAATTCCTTCTTCTGTCTCAGCCTCTCTCCATCAGCCTCAGCAATGATTCGCAGGAGTTTTCTCTCTTCAGCTTCCTGCTTTTCAATGCTCTGTTTGGTCTCCAGGGCTTGCTGTCTCAGCTTCTGCAGCTCGGCCTGACAAAGAGTGAAAGATGCAGACAAATTTCACTCTGTAACAGCACAAACTAGGACTGCGGGGTCTGGATTTAGACATACAGCTGTGCTTCTGATACTTTCCTCTGATGTTTCGTTTAACATGGTTTGATCACTCTCACAAGCAAAACAAGATTAACACACACACGCACATACAAGCCGGTAAAGAAATAGCAACGCACATTATGGTGATCATGTTTATTCTATGAGTTGTGCCCTTGAGGGATTTCCATCAGTTTTCTATAAACGGGTAGCAGGGGGCTCATTGGTATTCAACAGCACTACTCTTACCAGCTAAACATGGAGAGAATTCACAAAGAATAGTGCAGAGGAGGATGTGGGGTGAAGACGGGAGGAGCCTCTGAATGTACCAGCTCCTGTAATGGTCCTAAAACCACCAGCACATCAACTGCAAAGAGAAAGCCCATTGCGAGCAAAAATTAAATTAACAAAGATAACAACCAAGCGTCTATCTTATAAAACATCTTGATGGGACCAAAGAGATGTCATGGTATAAAAAGATATATAGATCCTATTTCTAAGATGCTTCCAATCTACATGGAAGATAAGACATACAAGTATTGTGCAAATATTAACAGGTCCAGGCAATAATGTTTCATTATTTTTCTTAACACACAACGGTGAATCGATATGATGGGAGGTCAGAGGACTGGAGTTGTCAGGGAGGCTTCCTGGAAGAGCTCAGATCTTGAGGCTCTTGAGGTTACATGGAAATCACAAGAGTGATGGGGAAAGGGTGTTATGGACTGGCAAGTTTCTGAAGGAAAATTCCTCTCATCAAAGGACACATTTATTCAATTCCACAAGGATATTTGTAACCTACAATATCCCAGGCATGATACCTGGCATTTTGCATAGCTACTCTTATCCCCATTTTACAAATGCAATTACAGAAACAAAGTAAAGCAAATTAACTCATTCAAGTTTACATCGCTAGTAAGTAGCAGAGTTGAGATTCCAACCTACATCTTTTGGTTCTAAAGCTTATGCCCACTCTGCTATCACCACCCAATGGTTCCAAGTCAAGGACATACTATGAGTAATACTTGAGGGATTCATCATCCATTGGAAATGACAAATCGAACCAACCACACTACAGTGTGGCAATGTTATCTACTGTGTGAAAAAGGACAGGGGAGGACACAAGAATGAGTTTTTATTTCTACCTGGCATTTAGGGGGAAGAACCAGTCAGGGCCTTGGCAGCTGACAGATAGTTCCAAAGTGGAGGGGTATGTGTTGGTAGGGGGAGGGTATTCAATAGTCAGGCTTTCCAGAGCAAAGGCGTGCAAACTATAAAGTACCTGATGTGTTCACCAGACAGCAAAGCATGTAGTGTGGCTGGATTAGAGTGTTAGGTAGGGAAGAGCAGGAGGTAAGGTTGGTAAATCAGCTGAGCCAGCCTGGGAAAGGCCTTGAATGCCATGCACTGTAGAGAGGATGCAATGCGGAGTCACAGAGTTAATCATATTAAAGCAGAAATATGTCTTTGAGAGGTTCCATGCCCAGATAGAAAGGACAGATGGTATCACAGACCAGGTGAGCACAAGAAATAAAATGAGAGGAGGAGCTCTGCTTTCACCCAGGCTAGGAATTGCAAGGGAGATGATGAGATGATATTTAGGCTCCAACTTTTCAATGGCTTGCAGGTCAGCAAATGACAGCGAAAAAGTGCTAATTATTTCCTTCAAGGAAATATTGGGACACCTACCTTCACCCACCCAGAAATGTCACTGGGATGATAGAAAACCCTGTATTTGCAAGTTCCTGTGAACCAAGCCAACTCAGGTCACAGTCTGCCTCTATTCCCTGAAGACCAAGAGTCATTAATTCCATGCCTCAAACTTACCCAAACAGTAGAAGGTACTACGCACCTAGTAACAGACATGTAATGTCACAAACTAAATGCAGCTCGCCACTGTAAAACCAAGCGTTTCTTTTATGACATTTTGTTTGTTCATTCATAAAATACGTTTTTGTCCAGGGATAAGCAAAAGGAAATACTTATTGAGAAAAGATCTGATCTGGTATTTACCATTTTGGGGGATTGCCTGTCAGGAAAGAGAGTGAAGAACCAGCCTTTCTATTTCTATAATCATTTAAGGTGATAGTGAAGACGGCAATAAAATACCTATTTGGCTCATGCTTTCTTTAATAAAACTTTTATTTTCTCAGATGTTCAACATTCACTTCCCTGTTCCTAAGTGCCAAGAGCTGATCAGAATCCATCAGCAGAACAAAATGAAAGCCCTGTTATATTAAAATGCAATCAATGGTGTGTAAAAGTATCTGTCTGGAATGTAAAACCATTTGTGTGCTTGGCATTGCTGGGTGTTTTTTCCATAATATATCAAAATTCTGAGTGGTCTCCTTATGTCCTAAATTTATGGGCTGTAAACAAGATGTGGCTTTAGACGTTGGCAGCAAATGTTAACATCAACAAACTACCTTGGGTCTAATGTATTTAGCAGCTATAAATCTGAGCTGTCTCACCCAGGATGGATGGTAACAACTGCTGTGCACCCAAAAGCTCATCAAGCAATGTTCTAGGTGGGACCTGAGGTATCAGCATCTCTCAAAGTGTTACTGGCGGTATGAGGTTGTACTATGATGGCAGGACACACTCCTTAGTCACTGCCTCCACAATTATACAGTTTTGTGGTAGGTGTTTATGGTTATCATCTAATTTTGCTGCAGACATAAATAATATCTCAAGATCCACACTTCCGGGAGTTTCACCCATTCATACATGATCCTGACATTCATGGGGCTTCACAGAAACCAGCTGTTTACCTCAAGCAAAACAAATAAGACTACTTGAAGCCTTCTAGACACAGGAATAATTAAGTTTTCTCCCTCTCTCTCTCTTTCTCTCTCTCTCTCTCTCTCTCTCCCCGACAGTTTCCATCCGTGTCATTCTAGAGAGTCAACTAAGTAAAAAGATATGGAGCTCTGAAGCCAGTCGCTAATGTGCTGCTGAGCTCTGGACACAGAGAATTTGCTGAATTATTCACCAAGAATGAAAGTGCTGTCAGATTGATGTGGGATGATTGGGAGGTGACGAGACAGAATTGGGGGCTTGTTAGGACTGGAAGGCAGACACTCCAAATGAAATGGCTCCTTCAGTGCTGATGAAACAAGACTGGGACAGAATGGGCAGATGAACGCAGAGGCAGCAACATCTACAGAGAACTATTGACATTCTGTCACAACCATAATGTGCTGACGACATCTAGAATCCTGAGGAGTCAGTAGAGCCTGGTAGCAACTGAAAAAGGAAAGAAACATGGAAGGAGCAAGATTTTTATTTTGAGGGGGATGAATGAGGATGGGGATGACCTATTATGGGCAATTGTTTGTCTGCTGGCTTGGAGAAGTGGTAAATTGGATTGTCCTGTCAAAAGGCATCTCACGGTCTAACAAACAGGCTAGGGCTTGCTCTTCTGGGAGGGATTATGCACCCACAAATCTTTGTAGAACTCACAATAATAAGCTAAATGTCTCTTGGAGCAAAGTTACTAGAAAATCTGCCCTTTCCTCCAGGGTTTTGGTTTGCAAACTTCAGATGCATGAAATCCAGAGACCTGTGTGGAACATGATTCAAATTTGAGGCTAAAAAAGTCAAGAGCTCAAACTCAACATTTGAGCTGTCATATTTTTCTAAAGAATGTCAATGGGCTTAATGATAGGCCAAAATTATCCAGTTGAAGCACCATTGCATGTCACCCTTGGATAACCTCAAATAATAAATCAAGCCGGTATCCTTTTACAGTTCCTCATTCTTGCCTTAATGGGAAAGGCTGGGGGGGATGGCATCCTAGTTTCACAGAAAGTCGAAAGCAATCATCTTCCTATAATCCATGACCCAAAGCTCTCCAGACCTAGGATTCCCCATTTAGGGCAGACTCTCTAGAGCAGAAGCCCTTTAATCATCTTTCATGTCCACCAGCTGCCAACTCTGCTGGCCCAGGACCAAAAAACAGAGAGCCCTATTGCCCCTTATTTTATTTTATTATGATGCCTTTTTGGAGCTTATATGTGTAGATACCTGATGATAGAGAGAATAAGTGAAACAAATATTAACCGGTCAAACTCTAAAGAATTAGGCATAATGGTTCTTTTGCATAGGACATTGCTTATTCTAAAGCAGGATTTTGTAGAAGGCAGTTAGTTCCACCTTAGACCCTATTATGAGGTAATACTAATCTTCTGACTAGAGCATTCCTTGGGAAAGTGAGAGATGAGGATCAATGTCGTCCTCTAAAAAGAAAGAGGTGATGTACCATATCAAGTTACACTGAAGCCTTGCTAACGTGGGTCCTTGAGGCCCATGAGTGAAGCAGTGTTTATAGTAAGATTCTTCTAATTCATTCAACGATAAATAAACCTCATCCCACTACAGGCTCCCGGCTGAAACAAACTTTCTACTTTCTACAAAACTATGCTTCGAACAAGGACAATAAGGGCAAAGATGCAGGATATTTTCAAATTTTAGAAAATATATTTATGTTTCTTTATATGTAAATAAATTTTACTGCAGAATTTTCCGGGTTTTTTTTTTTTTTTTTTCTGGAGTGGGGAGATGACATTCTCACACAAGTAAATACATCAATTACCATACCTTTTTTATAAAGGCACCTTTGTAACATTTTAATCTTTCTCAAACCAAACATGCCTTAAGTTAATTTCATGTAGTAATTCTATTTCCATGAAGACCTATCATTGAGTTGACAACACCCATTATTGAGAGTGCATATTTCAACCTATGGCATCTTGGAATCAAGGAAATATGGCATTAAATCTGTCCAACACTAGGTACACATTTTCAAGATAGGAACTATCTTTGAAAGCTAATAACGTGCAGAAACCAAGATACCCAGTCTCTCATTTGTTGTAGATAGTTCCTGCAAGTGGTTCATAAACATCCATGAATATTCTGCATATACATTCAAAATAAAAATGTCATCATTCTCTTAGAAGTTCCTTTTCAAATTCTTCGGTCAAATGGATTAGAAGAGAAATCTATTGAATTGGATAGGAAAAGGAAAATACATTAGGTTTAGTGAATGTGTATAGTAAAACATATTTGGTTTGAGGATTTGAAATGGTGTAATTTTTTAGTACGTGTTATTGGAAAAAGTCTTTATATTAGTAGACATAGAATGTTCTAAATTAGTACATTTAAAAAGATATGTCTCAGTAATATATGTGAAGACAGGTGAGTCCCTGGAGAAGTGGCTGCAAAGTTCTTAGACCCACAACAGTAAGGCGAACTATAAACCTGGTTGAGGGCAAATCAAGTAAGGACAAAGCTTGATGCCCAGTAGTTAATGATATTGTAGGCAGAAAAGTCATGTGCATGTGATGTAAACCATGATTAGGACAGAAAGACAAAGGGTCTTGCCAGCACTGACTTATAGAAGGCCCAGGAAGGAGTTTGGGAGGGTTGAGTGTGGGCGCAGGAGCTGGACTTGGGTTGTGCATGCAAAGAGATTGCAGTGAGCCTGCAAGCTCCAGGGCTTCCTGGGCACCGCTGACCTGCTAGGTCCTCTTCCGCTAATGTGATGGTAGCCAACATAGGAGAACGAGGTGCTTGGGCATCTCCACTGGCCTCCTCCCCATTCTACCTGGGAGCACTCCCTACAAGGAAGTGACGCGGAGGTGGTAGAGCTCACCCTCCTGGTGTCTTGTGTTCTCCCTGCCCCTTGTTGCCTTCAGCGACTGTGGAGCCTGCTAGCGGGTCATATAGATAGACTGTTGGTCCATTACTTTCATTATAAGATCTGTACCTTCAAGATTTCCTTCTCCTTTTCTATCCGCTGCTGTTCCAGATGTAGCTTCACAAGTGCTGACTCTTTGGCAGAGATTTCTTCTTTCAGCTGATCTACCTGATGGGTCATAATCTTTAATTTTCTCTTCATTTCTGTTATTTCATCCTAACAAAATGAAAGGGGAAATGTTTGAAAGTGAATTAAATAGAAATCATCATCCCTGTGGACATTAAATACATATTCAAGAGCTTTTAAGGGAGACTCTCTCAAAACAAGAGTCTCCTAACCAGTCACAACTGGGCTGTTCCTTTGTATCTTGTGCCCGTCAACCTCAAAGCACCTTATAGCCTTAACTCTTGAAATATTCTCATGAGATATATGCATAGTATGCATAACAAATATGCCATACACATACACACACACAAATACACACACTTCTTTCCTCATTTCACAAGAGAGGAATTGGAACTACAACAAACATTATCACTAAAAGATTGCAAAGCAAAGTTCTCCAATTAGATGACAAGAGTACGCTGCTCCCCTCTGACTCATGGCAACTATTAACAGTTTTAAAAATCAGAAACAGGAGAATGGAAATTCTACATAATAATTAAAAGCAGGACCATGATCATCATCTCCTATAAAGTTGTGTCATTTCCATTTCAAACGATCTGATAGTTCTGCGTCAATTGACCTTCTCTTTGAGGTGAATTCCATGAGATTTCTTTCTCGATCTATTCTAAATTCAGCCATTAGGATAACAGAAACTGCTTTAAACCCAGGATGGGGAGGAATGAAAATGGAAAGACATAAACATATTCTCTACCTGAGCCTCAACCAGGTTTTTGCTGTACAGATTCCTGTCTGACCTGACAGCTTCATACAGGTTCTGTTGCTGTTTTAGTTTAGTCTCTGATTCAGCGATTTTTTTCCTGTAGTCAAAAATCTGCATTTCACGGATTTTTATGTCTTCCATGTTCAGGAGGACCTGGAAGAGAAGGAAGTATATGAAGATGGTTAACTAGCCCATCTGTGGTTATCGGTTCAGGACAAACAGAGATTTTCATCTAAGGGTAGAAATGCCAGCAATCAGGAAATCTGACTGGCTGTAATCACTGTGGTACAACACAGGAATTCAGCCCAGCTGATTAGGGGCCAACATACATTTTATCTATGCCAGAGTTCTGCTCAAGTGTGAAGGCTTAGCACAGTTATTTTGTGATCATAGGAGAGAAAAAAAAGATAAAGAAACTCTTTCAATTCTAAAAACCTCTCCTGACCGCCCCACTCATCAAAAGAGGGGGGAGAAAAGGCACAGGCTTAAACAGATCTTAACATAGAGGGCTAAGAAAGATGAGAGATAACTTAGCTGCTTGGCCACACTCACGGCTTTACCAAGTTAACCACGAGAAAGAAAAGGGGGCTTTGAAGGTTGATAGCGATCGTAATGCTGTCTTGCCAATGCCAAACTCACTCCATCAGGGAAACTCAAAGGACTTCATAAAAATGCGTTCTATTGTGCACAAAACACTTCCGGGAAAGACGAGATGCAGGAATAACTGCCTTCTTTTTGCAGGTATGACAAACCAAGGCACAAAGTTCCAGTGTGGGCCAATAGCTGTCAACCAGCAATCCATGCAGTAGAAATTACCTAATCATGACTCTCAGCTGCAATGGCCACAGAACTTCCTTACGAAGAAAAATTTTATGGAGGAAGACTGATTAAATCAATGGAACTATGGTCTAAACAGCAGCTAGAACACATAAAGAGAAAATTCTTAAGATTTCAGTGGAGTTCTCTTAATTGATGGTTACAGATGAAGGAAATAGAGCATTGTGACAGAGAATGAAAGGAAGAGGATGTACCTGAAGTAACATGGCCAGGGAATGTTCCCCTGAAGAAGAGGCATTTTAGCCAGAACCTCAAGGTCAAAATGTACTTAGACCTTTGCCATGCTGACGCTCATTGTGATCCAGGTGTGGGCTACCTGTGAGCAACATGTTCCCAAATCACTGCACTGCACAATCCTTTTATTCCTCTTGTGGAATCAGTATTCCAGAAAATACACTCAGAGAAACCCTGTTCTAATGTGTTCCCATCAGAGTTTCATGGCTGGTGTTTAATATACTTATCCTTTATATCTTTAAACAAACACCTTTCAAAGTTTTGTTAGACTTATATTTAAGGAGGGATGGGATTAAATTTTAGTGAATGCCTTTTCAGCATGTATTCTTTTATACTATTTTTTCATATTGGGACTATTGATTTGATATACTTAGTAATAAATATTTCTTTTTACAAGTATTTTAATTGTATTTCTTTACACACAGTCCCACATGCCACAATTTTAAATAAACGTATAAATGTGAAATACATTTATTTTCTTTTCCTTATTTACTTCCTTCTCCCTTCAACCCACATCAGCCCCTCAATGACACATGAAGTAACCAGGTTAACAATCTAGTTTGTGTTCTTCCATATTTTTCTTTGAATTCTACATATTCTATTCAGGCCTACTAACATCATCATCATCATAACAGCTAATATTTCTCAGGTACTTTCCATGTACCAGGCATTTTACATGTATAACTCATTTAATACTCACAAAAGTCCTATGAGATGTGCATTATCATCACCCCAATTTTACAAAGAAGGAAATGGAAGTCAAAAGAAGTAATATCACTCACAGCTATTCAACTAGTAAATATACAGATGTAGGGATTTGTTTTCCTTTTTGGGTTTTGTTTTTATTTTTTGGAAAAATGGGATCTTCTTATATATACTTTTATGCACCTTGCTTTTTATCACTCAATAGCACTTTGTGGAAATCACGTGGGGTAGCTCTAATTCATTCTCTTTAGATCTGGTATAACACCCTACAGAGTGGGTGCACCATCATATCCTCTGCTCTTCCCCTCTGAAGGACACTAACTTGGTTTCCACTTTTTTTGCCACTCTGAACCATGCTGCAATAAACATTTTTGTACATGTGTCCTCATGCACCTATGCTTTTATTTCCATGGGATGGACCCCCAGGAGTGGAATATCTGCCTCAAGAAACATACATATGTTTAACTTCAATAGATATTGCTAGATTGCTTTCCAAAATGGCTGTGACACTTCACGTCTCCATACCGCCAGCGATAGTTTTCTTAATAGAAAACTATCCTTGCAGTTTCAGGAGAAACCCTCCTTCGTCATACTGGATGATTCTTTTAATGTAGTGTTGAATTTTGTTTGCTAGAATTTCATTTAGGAGTCTGCAGCCGTATTCATAAGTGATCTAAGTTCATAGCTTTCTTTTTGGTTCTAATATCAAGGTTTCTGCTAGTTTCACCAAGTGAACAGAGTACTTTTCAGTGCATTCATTCATTCTGTCACCCATTCATTCATTCACTCCACAAACATGTACTGAGGACCCATCTATGGCAGGCACTGTAATAGCACCAGAGATATAAAGAATAATATGCATTTCCTACCCTCAAGTTCCCCTCTAGTGAGTGACTCCTCCATAAAATGGATAATCAAGGAAAGGATACAACCAGTAAACTGAGATATGCACAGGGTGTTATATGAGAATCAATCACTGGAAAGTGAGTGGATAGTTTCTGAGGATGGTTGTACACCTGGTATCTAAGTGGTTAATATCTGGGATTTACATAATTTGTGGGAACTACCTCTTCCTTCCTCTTCTCCAACCATCCCAACCAAGGACTCACCTTGGACCCCAGGCTCTCTCCTAGGCCTGGAGTCTTTAGTCATTATCCCTCCATAAGGCATGGGTTATATCAAAACAGCAATGCTGATCAACATTACCCCAGGAATACAAAGTGCATGAAGTGCACTTTTTCTAAGTTCCCAAAAAATGCATATTGCCTCAGAATTATCTGATTCTTTAAAGTTTGAAGGAACTCAATGCTAAAATCATTAGGCCCTCAATGACAGTGTTGGAGCCAATTCTCTCTCAACTTCTTTGGTGGCTCCTATAGTTAGTGATCTTTCTAAGTTTCCTACTTCTTTAGTCAAACCTTGATGTATGTGTTTCTGAGAGAATTATCTCCTTCAACCAATTTTTTAAATTTATGCAACTAGAGTTGTACAAAGTGTTTTTAATGCTTTTACTGTTTTATCATTATTAATTGCTATCATCCTCTTGGTGGCTCAAGGTAAGAATATATACAGACTCAGTGGTGAATGGCTTAGATGGTTGGTTGGGGGCCTGGAAAGAACAAAATTAGAAGATCTGAGACAGGAGGTCTGGGAAAGAGGCATGTGGATAGATCTGAAACGAAAAGAAATCCTGTTCCTTCTTCCATCATTTCTTTGATTCATATCTTTAGAATCCATCAAAGTGAGTAGCAGGCAGCTTTTTAAGATACCACCACGGTCACTAAAATGTATGAGTTAGGAATAAATGTGAAACCTAAATAAAGTGTCCATTACTGGATCTGTTATTTGTCTGATTTTTTTTTTTTAAAGAAAGGTACTATCTTAGCCTACAATTTAGCCTTTCTACAAACATGACATCACCTTCTTTGGGGTCAGTGAAACAAATGGGTTGAAAATACTCTGAACAGCAACATCAGCATTCAGACTATCAAGCAACACATCAGAGAAAAGAAAACAATTGCTAGTTCAATCACTTTGAGAGATGTTACAACAAGAGCAATCCTTTGCACAGACAGAATCATGCTCCAGAGAAAGGATGCAGCCGAGGGTATTTCTTTTTTGGACAGCCAACTAGCAGGGTCCATCCTTCTGCACAACCAGGCACACAATCACAAACTTGCTTCTGGATTCATTTTTTTTTTTTTAAGATTTTATTTATTTATTTATTTTCCCCTCAAAACCCCAGTAGATAGTTGTATGTCATAGTTGCACATCCTTCTAGTTGCTGTATGTGGGACGTGGCCTCAGCATGGCCGGAGAAGCGGTGCATCGGTGCGCGCCCGGGATCCGAACCCAAGCCGCCAGTAGCGGAGCACGCGCACTCAACCGCTAAGCCACGGGGCTGGCCCTGCTTCTGGATTCTTGAAGCTGGGAGTAACAAGAACCCATCATGACGCCAAGAAAATCAAAGGTGTCTCAGTTAAATGACAATGAGGAAAAAAAAAAAAAAAAGTAGTAAAACTAACAGAAAAGATAATTTACAAAGCAATTTAGTTTTAAGTGTTGGGACTCAAAATGTGTTTTGATGGAAATCATTCAAACCAATGTCACATAGAAATTCCAATCCTGAAAATTCACAAAATGTGTGGGGTGTTAAGTAGGAGCAAAATCTTTCATCACCAAATGTCCCCTGTTAAAAATGGTATATCAGAGAATGTGGGGCTGGAGCTTAATTAATTGGTTACCCTTTAGATACCTCGAACCAACTCATGAGATAAATCACACTCAAATATAGAAAGTTTTATTACAGCCAGAGAGGTGGAGCTGCTAGCATTCGTAGGCTCGCTTCAGAGGAGCCCAGAAAATGCTTACAGTGCACTCTGAGGGTACAGTCCCAGCTTATAACCTACTCCTACCTTTTCTTTTTCTGTTAAAACAACCTGCCAATAGAAATAAGAGTGAGATAAAAATCAATAACTCGTGCTGGAGATCTGCAGCATAGTCAAAACATCATACAGACTGAGGCAGGATAAGAAAGTAGGTCACTGAATTTGTAGCCCTTTAACTGGCATTTGATGAAATATCAGTACAATAAACCTCTCAACTAAGTTCTTCTCAGTCGACGTCAATGGTTTGAATGCTGACAGTGCCTTTACCTTCATAATGAAACTGAAAAACTCACTCTCTGAAATAAAAAAGACGACAACAAAAAAACAAAACACTTATGTGCCCAGGCTTGTGAAATTTTGTCTTCTCTATTTTTCTTGCTTTCTTATTTTATCCTCTATCTTAAATTTAGAGAAGCATATCTATATTTCTATCTGTTGTTTAATAACATATTATGTTATCTTATAAAATGACGGTTATAATAATATCTA